ACATGTTTTGTAGTGACATAAGACTGACCCTCTATTTATATGAGAGGATCAGAGCAGTTGAGAGGTCCATCTATTGAATCAACCAAAGCATAAATCTACTTCGGTTTTACCCTTTCAAACCCTAATCTCTTCCGACCCCTTACTGTCCACCACGTCTCTCGACAAGATTTGCTGATATTCTAGGTGGCTTTGCCAATCCTAATATACTCCCGCTTTGTGTCTCTCCAACGGGTTTTCCCAGGAGGAGTTTGTGGGCGTTTTTGGCGAATACTAGCATCAAATCAACCTTGCCATTTTAGACCTACCTCTATTACGTGTTTTAGCCATGTGCAGCTCACACAATCTTACACTTGTTGCTAGTGTCACAGTGTGTGCGCAATCTTGCACTTGTTGCTAGTGTCATAGTGTGTGACCAATTTAGCATCAACATGATAGATGTTGGTCTTATTTATATCAAAGAAGAAACAAAATAGTATATTAACATTTTCTTCATGCTTGATCATGGATGTATCCATGCATTAAATAGTATAGATAATAAAATAGATGGTCCATTGTATATGCTATCTGTTTAGTTGTTTGTGTGTGATATGGCAAGAACTTACCAGCGGGCCGCCTATGGGTTGTGTATGCCCCCTTATGCCTCAATATATGCTTAGATGGACTCTAATTAATGCACTGTGATATGCTTAGATAATCTCAAATTAATGCATTTAGGTGTAGATATACAAAATATTAAAATTGATTGTGAGAGATAGATGTTTAGGATATGTCATGGAATCATCTCTCCCAGCAAGTATACTTTGTAGAGAGATTTCTGTACATTACCATTGACCAGTGAGGTGCTTGGGGACCACTCTTTAATTGTTGTATAACGCTTCATGGGGCGCTCTTCATTCTTTGGACGCTAAGGGTGTCTCTAGCACCGCATCTAAATTGCCCGCTGACGTGTTAGCTAGAAACAGTAAAAAAGAAAAAAAAAACTAGACATCGAATGCGAGATCAGATAACTTAGGAAGACGTGCGAGCTGGCCTCTTGTGCTTTCCCTAGCGACGTAAATTTTCTAATTCTCTCCGTCTGATTGGCTGACTGGCGCTTCGAGCTACCAACATGTCAGCCGCTGGGGATGCTTTAGTATCAGTTGGTGGTGGATGGGGTAATATGTTTTCTCGGTCGTTAGAACGGTATGACATGTGTGATCGATGGTCAGTTGCCACCGTGACAACCTCATGGGCCCACAACTCAATTACTTGCATGAGAACAAAATTGAAATTAATTAGCAACAAACAGATACATCACCTTTTCAGTAGAGAGGTGGATGAGCAGAGCCTATAAAACAGAGGTGATCCCAGATTAGAAGCTCATCACTCCTCTTTAAAAAATATCGCACAAAACGCAAGGGAAAGGCGTGACTGATTTGGGCGACCAAGACTGCACTCGGGTACGTTCTTACAGTTGCCCTACCCTTTATTTGAGTTTAGTTTTCAAGTCTCTATGAGAAATTTCATTTTTCGAAAACCTTACAACTATAGTGGAGAGGAGCTCTCGCGTTCTGCGTGGTTGATGAGATCTAGGTTTCACCTGACCGGGGACCAGATTTGAGCCTTCTAGTCTTCCTAGCCTAGGCGCTTGTGCTTTTTCTGGTTAATAAGCAGAGGAGATCTAAAATTCCCTAGGCTTAAAACAAATCACCTAGATGAAACACATGAAAGTTTTGGTTCATTATAATTTTGAAACGGAGAGCAATATAATTTTAACATCGTTTCCTTCAAGTTTAGATGTAGCTTACATGAAAGTTTTGGTTTCCAAAGATCGCATCATAATGTTGTGGGAAGACAGGGACCGATGTAAAATATGAATATGATGATGTCAAAGTTTGTAGATATATCATGTGAAAAAATGACATCTTTTTCTTTCCGCAGGGTTGCCACGAAGTTATTGTCCTAATAAAATAGGCATACAATTGAAACATGCAAAAAGTATTTTTGAGTCAACTTTGTTGACTAATTCATCAAAGTTTGTGGGAAATACATGGAAAGAAACCCGGAATGCATCCCCTCAGGCCAGCTATTAAATTTCCACTCGGAATTAGGCTTACATGAATAACACGATGTTTGGTTGGGATAAGGAAACACAAACACAAAGGGATTGGATAAATGGGACTAAAGTAAACATGGTAAGCAATTATTTGATTTGTTTGGTTAGCTTTGGAACATGAACAAAGAAGCTGCAGAGTCGATTTACATGTATCTTGTCGTTTCTTGCTTCCTTAATTCACCCGAACGACAGCTTGAGCAAATGACAAGATGGAGTTGTGGTGAGCTAGCAGAGACGGTACTCGGTATTGGATAAAACATCATGGTGGGAGTGTTATCACTTTTGCGAAGGCCCATATTCGATAACAACGCGATCTGATTACACGTGGCCCTAAAACAAAGGATCTATTACCCTCCATAAAAAATCATGTTACTAACACCCGAACCAAATACTATCTAAAGTCTTGGGGGTGTATGCTAGAAGGATAGTAGTATCTATCCCCATTTTTTCCTCGCAGAGTCGATTTACATGTATCTTGTCGTTTCTTGCTTCCTTCATTCACCCAAATGACCGCGTGAGCAAACGACAAGACGGAGTCATGGTGAGCTAGCAGAGACGACACTCAGTATTGGATAACGTCATGGAGGGAGCATTATCACTTTTGTGAAGGCCCATATTCGATAACATCGCGATCCGATTACACGTGGCCCTAAAAGAAACACCACGCAACAGGTTCTATTACCCTCCATAAAAAAATCATGTTACCAATACCCGAACCAAACACTATCTAAAGTCTTGGGTGTATGCTAGAAGGATAGTGGTATCTATCCCCATTTTTTCTCCTCGCAGTTATCTTTTTATAAAAAAAAAAGTTTGCTACCTTTGACTTTTTTACGAAGGCGCTCTAGCTAGCATTGTTGTGCAAGAAGGATTTGGGCACCTAACCCAAAAGCGATCGGGTAGGATGCACGATCTTACTTCCAACCATGCACTCGTGTTGTTTAGTTTAATTTTGGCCGGAAGCCCTAAAACATAAACATCATCATGACTTCAGACAAATTGAGGTATTGCTTGTCCCAAATAAGGCTGACTTCTTGTTTTTTAATACAACCGGCAATTCTCTCATCAGGTTGTTTTAAAAAAGTTGGTCCCTCTAGCTTATAAAATGTATGTTGTTCTCCTTACAGGAAAAAAATCATAGGTCTCGAGCATCTGCACTGGATCGTCTCCTGTTCCTCCTCCCCTACAATCACTTATAAGAGATCTCTCAAAAAACAATTTTAGGATATGAGAGAACCTTTGTGCCAGCAGATTACTTAAATCTCACACTGATTTAGGTGATGGAGAGGTCTTCTCTTTTCTTTAGGAGAGATGGTGATGGATTTATGAGATATCTAAATAAAGAATATAAAGATATAAAGATAAGAGATGTGATATGAGATCTTCTTTAGCTGTCATATTTGCTATTTAATAGATAGGAGCAAGTATAAGAGATAGAGAGAATTTTTTGTGAGCCATTAAAAAAGATCGCAATCCTCTGTGAGCCACTGGAAAAGTTCAGCGGTTTTCGGCGCCACTGCTTCAACTTTTTTTTGCCCTCCATGCCACTGCCGTCAAATTGGGCTCTAACGGTGTCAAACTGCAGGTTTGAAAAATCAAAAATACCCTTAAGTCTAAATATATCATTAATTTTTTTTGAGCATCTTAACGACTTCAAATGGAAAAACTCAAAACTAGAAAGTTATAGATCTCGTCGAGATCTATAATTTTCATATAAAATTATCTTCTTTTAATACCGAAAAAAGATATGATTTTTCTAAGATATATTAATCATATCAAATCATATCTTTTTTGCGGAATTAAACGAAGATAATTTTTATATGAAAATTATAGGTCTCGACGAAATCTACAACTTTCTAGTTTTGAGTTTTTTCATTTGAAGTCGTTAAGATGCTCAAAAAAATTTAATGACATATTTAGACTTAAGGGTATTTTTGACTTTTCACATCTGCAGTTTGACATCGTTAGAGCCCAATCTGACGGCAGTGACATGCAGAGAAAAAAAAGTTAGAGCAGTGACGTTGAAGACCGCTGAATTTTTTTAGTGATTTATAAAAGATTACTATTTTTTTTAATGGCTGACAAGAGTTCTCCCTAAGAGATTCGGTGGAAATGCTTTTAGAGTAGCTCCAGCTCCAGCGTGACTTCGAACCGAGCTGCATGTGTCAGGCCACGAGTACATCCATTCTGCAAGGGAAGGAGCATTTCTACAGTGGGCAGTTCATTTTTCACTCGTGGAAAACCCGTAGGTCCCGTATCAAACAATAAACAAGTAGATATCACATCTCATCTGCCATCTCTTTAGCATATCAGCGTAAGTGAATCTAATATTCTATTGCTCTTGCGCCAAACCCAAACAAGCGTTGAAGCGAAGAATGTTTTGACCCTGTTCGCTTCTTCGAAAAAAGTTCCGACTGATTTGTTTCGAGAGAAAACACTGTTTCGATTGAAAAAATAAACTGAAAAGTACAGATTATAAGATAAGCGAACATGGTCTTTAGCATGGCTCGCTTGCTCTAGTGTATATATAAAACTTTTCACCCGGTTCTGTGGCACTACTTCAACAATATTTTTCAGCGAACGAATTATGTATTTCTCTCGTATCGAATTAGTATAAGCATCAGCGATTGAGTGTATCTTGATTCACTTGCACGCTGGAGCTGCTCTTGCGTATCTTGATTCATGAGCGGAGAAATAAGCGGCATGTTCGCTTGCTCGTAAACGATCGTAAATTTTCAGCCGAAAACAGTGTTTTTCTCTCACACCAAACCAGCCAGCAGTAAATAATCTATGGTACGATACGGCTGAAGAATTTTGAAGAATGTCTCTTGATATTCCACTCATTGTTTTATTTTGCTTGTGTGTGTGTGTGTGTTCCATCGAAGCAGCTCTCAAATCCGGAGACATGGCGCACCCAGGAGAATCAGGAGGAAACATGGCTCGTCCAAGCAACCCGTCGGGCTACTTCACGCCGTCTTTTCCTACTCCGGCCATCATCGGCGCTCAGGGAAGTCAGGCCCTTTTCCAGGAGAACCAATGGGAGCCTTCAATCGGCGCAAGGGCTCCGCAGCTAGGCCATCCTAGTGCCGTCGACACGCTGGTGCCGCCGGCCGTGGCGCCACAGACTTTCCACTTCCAGTTCCAGCCGGAGAGCCAACCCCACATGACCATGCCACAAGCCGGTGTGCCGAACGCGATGCCACTCCAACACTTCAGTGGCACGGCGGCTGTGCAGCCGCTGCACGGCAATGAGCTAGCGGCGCGCGTGGCGGCCATAAACACCTTGCCGTACCAGCCTTTCCAGCCCAACAACTATGCCCACGGCTGGTTCCAGGACCAGCTGATGCCGCCGCCGCAGCAGGCTCCTCCAGCTCTTCGCTACGCAGCTCTCCAGCCCGCCGTCGAGCAAGGCGACAGCGGCTACCACCTTCAGCCGCCACCACCGCAGGACGCGCATATCCTCCAACGCTCCATGATGGCCATGGCGCCGCCTAACTGGAACAGCGCAGCTCCGGCGGTTGCGACGGACGGCTATGGCGCCACGAGCTGGGCGCGTCCCATGCTTCCCCCTTCTGACTGGCCCAGGAGCTGGGCGCCTCCCGTGCAGCAACCTGGTGCTGGTGGACAGACGAGCTGGGCCTGGGCGCCTCCAGCGCAGCAGCGCCCTGGTATGCCGGCGGCGTCTCCAGCTAGCGGCTCGGCCCAGGCGCAGCCGCCGCGGGTGACGGGCAAGAAGACCTTGGAGGAGTTCCTCCTGGAGGCCGGCATCCTCGACCAGCAGACCGTCAACAAAATTTTTGTCGACGAACTCGCTGAAGAGATGCTGGGAGATGGACAGGCGGAGCGTGACGACCGCTTTGTTAGCCTCGGAGACCTTTTGCTGGCTCTTGGCGCGGTTTCCTCTTCCTCCTCTGGGGCTGGGCCGAGCACACATCAGGTTCGCATGCCCGCCCAGGAGGCGCTCGGCGCTGGCACATCGGGTGGCGGCGGCTGCGACGAAGCGGCGGCGGCCGAGGCCAGGGAGCGGAGGAGCAGGAGGATGGCCATGCGAAAGGAGGCCGCTGCTAGACACCATCGTCCCGACAAACATGCAGGTATCGATTACTCTGCATCGTTTCAGAAGATTTTTTTCTTCAGCTTTGATCGTTGCTTCTCGTGCTACGGTTGCTCAGTGGTATCTCATGTCTGAAGACTGAACTAAAAATACTGTGCTGCTGTGCCTGTGTTGCAGCTCCTCGTGGAAGCCAAAATGGACCAGGAGCTATCTGATTCGTCAAGGAGCTGAACTCTTCGCCTATGCCTGCCGTCGCTTGTTGTCTACCGGCAACAAGATTCTGAATCATTTATTTATGCTATGTGTCTTTTTATCGTTAAAATTTAGGTTTATCCTAGATCAAATTTCTTTTAACTTTGACCGGTATTTTAGAAAAAAATAATACATCAACATACATAAGTTCAAATAAACATAGTCAAAATTAAAGAAATTTGACTTAGGATGAAAAAAATACCCTATAATTTATAACTTATTATATCCGAAGTTGACCTGGCCTGTTAACATACATAAGCTCGTGTATGGCTGTTAAACTTCTCCTGTTTTTGTTATTGGATCATTCTCGTCTTCTCGATAGTAGTAGTAGTTAAATCGTTGTGCCCTTTTACTTGGCGATCTTTTTTGCGAATTCTTTTCTCTCTCTTTTTTTGAATGGCGATCAATATATGCTGTTTCCCTGAAGACCTAATGAATAAGCGTAACCTTTTCTCGGATTTGCGAAATCAAATGAGTGCAAATTCGACGACGAGGCAGTCGTCTGTTACCTGTTGGGCTGTTATGGACCTCAATAAGACGTGGCCCGACTTAATCAAGGTGAAGAAGTGTAAGTCGGTTAGGCCCACGGAACTAAGTACCCCGGCGGCTGGCCGGTGCCGCAGGCCGCAGTTGCAGGGGTGGCTCGCCCTCGCCCGACGCGTCCACCAAGCACCAGAGAGCCCTCGCCCGACGCGTCCACCAGGCACCGACGCCTCCATCCGGCCGACCTAGGAGGAGAAGGTCGAGGGGGAAGTCTCCCTCACGAGAGGCGAGGAGGATGTCGGGGTTCGGTGATGGGTACGTGGGGACGGCGCAGGACGCGGTGAAGATCCGGCGGCTGGAGAAGCAGCGCGAGGCGGAGCGCCGCAAGATCGAGGAGCTCAAGAACAAGTCCGAGGACGGGCAGCCCGGCCTCCTCCAGTTCGGCTCCAGCACCTCCGAGGTAATCGCAGTCACGGCCTCGCGCTTCCCTTTCCTCCCCTCCTGTCCGTCTCACTACCAAATCCTTTAATCCGGTCGATGCGTTGTAATTGCCCACCAAGCTACGAGCGAGGGAAAAAGACACTGACTCACTTGTCGCCACTGTCGTTCAGGATTCGTGTATTTTCTCTTGTAATCGCCTGTAATTTTTGCTGGATAGTTAGCTCTACCTGTGATTTAGCAAAATTAGCACGAGATTTGTGTTCTGTTTAGTTTACCCTGTACGGTTCAGTATTCACTTTCGAGTAGCTTTTTCACAGTTCGCTTTTGTTGCTGAATTGACCAATTGATTTGTGTGTGTGTGTGTGTGTGTGTGTGTGTGTGTGTGTGTGTGTGTGTGTGTGTGTGTGTTTTGATGTCGTGTAGGCTGATTTATGTCTTTTAACTTCTACGCCATGTATACGCCTCTTCACTCGTTTAGAAATTATTTGAATTTCTGTAAGTAGGCTGTTATTGTAGGTCGTGTATACCCTTGAATTTTACTAAGTTACTGTTAATTGCTGTTGCATTCAGATTCTTGAGACTGCATTTAAGAAGGAAACTGTTGGTCTCGTCACCAGGGAGCAGTATGTCGAGAAGGTAATTAGCCAATTCATTCATTCATACATACATCATTATTTGCCGGCTGATTTGTTGAAGACTGGGATGTTCCATCTAATATGTTATCCTTCTGTCCGACTAGAGGGTTAACATTCGAACCAAGATCGAGGAGGAAGAGAAAGAGAAACTTCAAAAGCTACAACAAGAGTGAGTTTGAACTTTGAATTCAACCCTGGTAAAATCATAAGTATCTTTGTATTCCTTCCCTCAGCCAAACAATGATGTGTTGTGTGTTTCAGAGAAGAAGAATTGCAAATGCAGAAAAGGAAAAAGAGGAGAGTGAAGGGTGATCCACGCTTATCTTTCTGTGATGACATTGAGAATGGAAGTGATGAAGATGATTTTGAGAAACGTATGGTCCTTCTAACCTATCTGTGGTCTTACTATTTTTTTGTTCTCTCATCTCATTTATGTGATCTGTTCATTTTGGGGGTGCACTGCACACATCTCTGTCTATTGCATTGGCCAAGTTTTTTTTGGCTGTGTTTCTATATTCCCCACTTGTGTGGGCTGGTTGTAGTTTAGGATTTCATATTTCATTTGTTAGCATAGCCGCGACGTAGTTGATGAACGATATTAAATGTACCACATCCGTATATTCTTTGCTCGTGTACTAGTTTCCTTCTGATAATTGTGTTTTCCATCATAGTTTTCAAATTCTTGTGAAGCATTGTTTTATGTGTTTGTTTTTCCTGTTGTGTTACAATCTTGATTTCGAGATCTTACTTGTGTGGCAATCATTTGCTTTAAACTTTGCTTTAGTTGTTAAATTGGTGATGAAATGAAGTTTGATTGATGCAACTGTGGCAAAACCCTTGTTATCGTCATGATCCTGCTATTTAGATCATTTCATGTATAGTTCACCTGTAGACAAACACCAAACTGAATTAAACAGGTCTTGCACAGGGCTTTATGTAGAATGTCTTAATCCTTGCTCAGTGCCAACAGCAATATTTCTGTATCTTGACATTACTAAAAAATTATAGAACTACTCTTAAGCTAATATGCACATATTCTTGCTTCTCTGTACAGAAGAAACCAAGAAAAATGGCCCTGTCAAACTTGGAAAGGATCCAACTGTCGAGACAAGTTTTCTACCCGATAGGTATTTCTGTTGGTTTATGACTACCACTTAGGATTGTTGATTGATTCTCCATTTCCAAGCTTTGTTTGACCTGCAAGCTGTTTGCTAAGAGTGATCCTTCAGAGAAAGGGAGGCGGAGGAACAAGCAGAACGAGAACGACTGAAGAAGCAGTGGTTGCATGAACAGGAATTGATCAAAAGTACTGCCACATTCTGATAGAACTGCTCACTTTAATCAATTTACTACGAGTCACAATTTTTTGGATAAAATTTCTTCCTAACTGATTAACCATTATGTCGCGTTCCAGATGAACCTCTTTCAATTACTTACAGTTACTGGGATGGGACTGGGCACAGGAGAGTTATCCAGGTTAATTTCTAATCAATGGTGAACTTGCTTCTTATTTGTCTGTTCTAAGCTTTTGATCTGTGGACTGTACAATGAAAACAAAGCTTACTATGATGCCAGGTCCGTAAAGGTGACTCCATTGGAGAATTCCTAAGGGCTATTCAACAGCAGCTTGCCCCTGAATTCCGTGAAGTACGGACAACTTCAGTTGAGAATCTACTTTATGTGAAGGAAGATCTTATCATCCCTCATGTATGTGTTCATTCTCTTGTAATCTACAAAGTTATGTTAAAGTAAGTCCAACCATTTTCTGATTCCATGTTCTCTCATTTGTTTGACAGCAACACAGCTTTTATGAATTAATTATCAACAAAGCGAGGGGCAAGAGTGGACCGGTAATTCTTGTTTCTTTTGTGATGTGGATATATTCTGCTAAAAAACGTGTTGTTTGTTCTGAAGCTTTTCCTAGCTTTTGGAAAAACAACTGTGCAGTTCCTTTTTTTTCCATTGGTGTTTCCAGCTTATGTAATCTTTGGCTTCTTAGTTCTTACAACTGATCACTGTTTTCATTTCATCAAGGGAGGCTAGCAGTTTCTTCTTTCTTCCTTAACCTCGTTAATTCACAAGTTTAAGGAATATTGGATCTGAAACCAAATGATTATGTAATTCTAGTTGTTTACAGATGCTTAAGGGATTGTTTTGTTATTCCAGATGAATTATTTCTTCATGGCATTAGAGTTTAAACATTTAATGACACTGATTTCTGTTGACAGCTTTTCCATTTTGACGTTCATGAGGATGTTCGTACCATTGCCGATGCAACAAAAGAAAAGGATGAGGTAACTGACGTTTCACAATGTCTTATTTGTACTTTCCAGTTTCCCATATGATATGCTGCATTCTAAACTCATGTTTGATAACTGCAGTCTCACGCGGGGAAGGTTGTAGAGAGGCATTGGTACGAGAAAAATAAGCATATATTCCCAGCTTCAAGATGGGAGGTTTGTCAATTTTCTCTGTCTTCTTTCATGCTTAATAACCTCAACTCTGTTGACAGGAATATACTTTGGTTTGGCAACAGTTTGTTCATTCACTAATGACTCAAATTACATTGCAGATCTATGACCCAACAAAAAAGTGGGAACGCTACACAATCCATGGGGATTAGCATGGACCATCATACATAGACAGCTAAATTATTTGTACTTTGGATGTCTGAAATTACCAGCACTCAACGGTATGAGAATGGCACAAGTGACGATTGGAATAGCAGATTATCAGTGTTGTTTGCCAACATGTACCACTAAAACTAGAATCATATGACTGTTATTTTAGCGATGCCAAAATTTTCTCCTCTCGATACTTATGTGAAACCTGTACTTCTACTGATGATATTTCCCATTTTCCCCCTGAAATCTTCCTGTCGCGAATTCATCTCATAGTTGCGGCCATTGTTACCACTCTACGGTGCGCGTCATCAATGACTCCTGTCGTCTAGATGTATCTATGCTATTAGTCGTGTCTGACTGCTATTGGTTTGCTAGAAAAGTTCATGCTTGACGACAAATATATTAGGGTTTGTTTATGCGAGTCTATCGAACTATCGGCGGTAAAGTGCAAACCCTCCTGAATTGTTGAAAACATTCCGAAGAAAAGGCCCTCCTGAATTGTTGAAAACATTCGGAAGAAAAGGCTTGGCTTTCTTTAGTTCTGCGGGTGGCAGCTTAGTAGATATACCTATCGGGCCTGTTCGGCAGGACTGAAAAATACTGTTTCGGCTGATTGTCGTGAGAGAAAAATACTGTTCTGGCAGGACATGAACAGTGATTTTATGAGAGAAAAAACAAGCCAGCCGGCTGGCTTAAAGCCAGCCGAACAAGCCCATCATCTATTGGAACAGGTGAGCACAATAAGAATGCCATGAGCCCATGATCTCCCAAATCCCAATCAATTGCACTAAGCCACCCTAGCATGAGCTATCTTAACTGACCGAAACCTAGACCAAACAGGATTAGGACCGAGATTCCCTCTGCTCCATGCAATGTTCGCCACTCTCCTACTACCACTACACTGGAGCTGGAGTTGCTCCACAAAGCTGCACCAAACCCTCCTCTGCCTCGCTTCAAAAACCCCTACCCCTCTCCCATTGCCTAGCTCACCAGATCGATCTTACCATGGCTTCCCTCGCCATCCTCCTCCTGCTCGCGCGCATCTCCAGCTCCATTGCCATCTCCTCCAACTACATCTCAAGGAGCGCCGAGCAGCAGGTCATCGCCACCGTCGCGCCGGCCATTGTTCCTGACATCGACGGCCAGAGCGCCCAGCCGTTCCTCACCTCGCCCTCCGGATCGTACGCCGCATACCTCCGCCGCGTCGTGGACAGCGGCGGCGGCCTCGTCGGGGACGCGTGCTATGTCCAGGTCCAGCAAGCTGGCGCCAGCGGCAGCGTGTGGGAGTCGGACTGCACCCCGGTGGGCGGCGCTGACGCGTGCGACCTGGCGTTCTCGCCGGTGGGGCTCGAGCTCTTCGCCGGAGGGCACTCATTGTGGGACACCGGGGTCGACGCCGATCCGGGAACGCTGAGCCTTGACGACGGTGGCGACATGAAGATTGTTAGCAGGGAAGGTGTGATGGTGTGGACGGCGAGCGGCGAGCCATGGACGGGGCAGCAGTGCGGGGCACCCTTGCCGGTGTCAACGATCGCGCCTTCGGTGGAGGCGCTCCCACCGCCGTCGACTGCCGGTACAAAACTCGTGACGCCGCCAGCAGCGACTCTTGCTGGTGCGGGGAGCACGGACCTTTCTTTCGGAGACCAACCAGAGCCGCAACCAGTCGACACGTTGCCGGACTTGCCGGTCCAGCAGCCAGTTGACACGGCACCCGAACTGCCACCGTCCGCGTCTCCCGACTTGCCGGACCTGTCGTTACCACCGCCGCCAGCTTACACGACTCCCGACTCGCCGGACCAGCCGCTGCCGGCACCCCCGCCAGCTGACATGTTGCCGGACCAGCCGCTGTACTCTTCGCCGCCTCCAGCTCCACCCACCTTTGGCCCTCAAACGCCATTGCCACCTTTCGGCGTGCCACTCGCCGCCCCGCCGACCGGCGACACAATCCCAGGCACGACGGCCACGCCATCTGGCGAGCCAGGATCACCAGGCAGCGTGCCCTTCTCGGGACCATCTCCTGTCGGCATGCCACACCCGCACGGGCATCCACATCAGCTGCCCCTTGGAGCCTCGCCGCCGCTGCCGGACGCGCTGGCGCCGGGCGGCGTCCACGGCGCGGGAGCCGGGCAGCCCGGTGCCCCCTTCGGCCATGGGCAGCAGCAGGCGGCGCAGGGCGTGTTCGGCCAGCAGCCACAGCTGCTCAACGGCGAGGGGCAGCCGTTGGAGGACAGCGCCGGTGGGTGGTCAAGAAGTGAGAGCGGCAGAGCGGCGGCGTGCATGGCCTTGTTCGCTCTGGTGACACTGGGCTTTGGCTTCTAGTTTCTTCCCCTTCTGTGTTTTGGTTTCTGGGATTGGATGGTCATTTCTGTGCTGTTATTCTCGGTTGATCTGCGCCCTGTTCGTTTGGCTTATAAGCCGTATTTTTTTCAACCAATGAACAGTATTTTTCTCTCACAACAAATCAGTCAACAGTACTTTCAGCCATAACTTATCAGCCAAACGAACAGGCACTGATCGCGCGCGGGGGTTGGGGGGTTCTTTTTGTGGATTGTAGTAAATTGTGTGTAAAACATGTTATATGGTCCGCTGGCTGATTCATTCTGTAGGATAGCATGCATGATCTACAGTATGTACGATGTTTCATTTGTGTATTATCGTGTATAATTATCAAATTTAAGCATGATTCATGAGTTGAACTATTGGTTTGGTGATACTAAAAATCAATTTGTAATCTCGTACCAGCGTGTGTTAACTGTGAAGAAATTGGAAGCCAAGGTGAGCCAACCAAAAAAAAGGAAATTCGATGCAATATAGGTACCATCGATTAATTACGGTAAGCAGTAGTAATAGTAACTTTATCTCGTTATATGGGCGTAGTAGTGAATTGAAATTATTTATTTTGTTCCGATTTAAGTTCGTACAGACCATAGGCACAGATGTATTCCGGTCCTGCTTTTTATTCAATTGGCTCACATTCTTCAGATGAGCGCTTCGCCCCCTCAACGCGCTCGGCGGCGAGAGAGGTTGCAGGGCAATCTACCGTTTCAAAATTTCAAAATATATAAATGAGGGCCAGCGGAATAACCAAATTAGGACACTACTAATTTGCTATAAGCATATCTTCGAACGACTTGTGTGTATAAACAAAAATAGCATCTATACTTCAACCCATCAAAGCATAAGTTATCCAATCTTTCAACAATGTAATATATATTTGTTAACCATATCATCTCATAATCAATTCAATACATCAAAAAACATAGTGTGTTCCATGCCAACTTATACATAACCAATCAATCACTTCACATATGGATCATATCAAGCAAGATAGCAACTTAACCAACACATATAGCAAAAGAAATACCAAATCAAAAGGGCGGAGACCAATACATGGAAAACACCTAGCGGAGAAAAACAACAATTGAGCAACCCACTATCAAATAACGAAATATAGGAGGTGGGAGCCAGCAAGGATAGATAGACTCTAAATCCTCCACGAATCTCGCTTTCTATTGGATTGATTTGATGAACCAAAACCTCTCCACTTCTCTCCTAAACCTTAGCTATCTCTCGCCGTCCCCTTGACCCTGCCTTCCCCTATGGCTTCTCCAGTGGACTCTATAAAGCCTAAAGTGACTCATGGGATGAGCTGGCATCCAACAAATCGATGCATAACCACTGGAGGACAACGGGTGCATTCAAATTGTTAGAAACCGACTTCCAAACATGAGTCAATGCATTAGATTAAAATAGCATATCATAACAGCGAATACAACTGCCAACCACCATACAAACGGCTCAGGTTGAGAGCGGAATGATTTTTTTAATCCTAAGTAGCCCACACGAAGAGCTAGAGTACCGCTAGAAGTGCTTGTCACGTGACCTACATGGGTCGACCCACTGCGGGTATCGTAATCATTCGTTGACCGGTCGACGCACAACAACCCCCCACTCCCACCCCCGCTCGTACCCCCATCCACCGTTGTCCTGCCACCCGCGGCTCCGACGACGACCTTGCTAACTCGCTGTCGTGCCCCAGCCATCACCTAAACCCGCTTCTAGACCCGCTTGTGATTGGGAACCCTATCCCGGGACCCTTCTTCCTCGGCAGCGGCGCGTGAGGGGTTACACGAGTGCGCGAACGCATGACCCATTTGTGTGAAGAGAAAGACCCCTGCTATAGTGCATGCTACCGTATGCGCGAACGCATGACCCATCCTACATGCACCCGTCGCTGTACATCCCGACAAAGTTCAAAACATCAGCAAGTAATTCCGACGATACACCCCATTAATCAATTATCATCATTGATGTAGCAAAAAAATTGTGAAGAAGAAACATGGATCTAATGAATGTCCTCATCTTTTTTTGCCTGAAATTCGTATGCTAACAGCAAACGAGCTCTACACAATTACCAGAATGCTGCTGCCATTTAAGGAAGCGCGACATCGATATCGTCGGCGGCGCAGTCTAGACCTGGGGCGTGAGCAACCACCGGTCGACGCACTCGCGGTGGAAGCCGTGGCGGCACGCGGGCAGCGCTCGCACCTCCTCCCCGCCCGCGTACTCTGCCAGGCACACCGCGCATTCCCCTGGCTCATCGCTGCCTGCAGGGTCCGGCGTCACCTGCACCATCACCACGGGGATCTCCTCGAGCGCGCGCTTGGTCTCCGCGGTAGCAGCCGCCGGCCGCTGCGCCTGCGGCCCCGTCTCGCCGCCGCCGGGTTGCTGCTGCCGGGACGCGCTGGTGCAGAGGCAGAAGATGGCGCTGAGCGCGACGTACGACACGCTGGCGACGAAGACCACGATGGTGGTCGCCGCGAGCACCCGCTCCAGCTGCGCGCGCTGTGCTTCAAGCGACGGATCCGACGCCTGCGGCTGTGGCGCCCCGACGAAGAGACCGCGGCCGGAGTAGTGGCCGCGCGTGCAGCGGCGCTCCGGTCCTCAGTCCTCACGCTCGCTGTATGTAGCGTGACACCGAGGCGGATTTAAAGAGGGGCATGGCTGGCGTGGTGGGGCGACACGGAGCACGGAAGGCGGGTGGAAGCTTCGGTTTACTGAGGGGACGTCGGTTTCTGCTGTGGCACGTTGGCTCCTCTCTCTTGCTCGCTCGGTCGGTCTTGTTCAAATTCGCTTGCAGCAGTGCCTGTGCCCGCGCTGCAGCCGAACGCTCGAGCCAACACGGTCGGGCGCAGGGCCAGGCGCGCACCGAATCCGTGTGCCGGGCTGGGGAGTAATGCGGCGCACGTGCCGATCACCTCTACTAGAGGTCTAACGTGTATGTGCATGCATTTGTGAATTGAATTGATCTCCTCGTATAATGCTGGGACTGTGGGCCGGATTGGTTTTTAAGCCAAATTTTAGTTGTGACAAGTTATTGATTTCTATTTCGTTAGTTGCCAAAATTTACTAATATATCACACTTAGCTTACAGAATCTATGGCAGATATTTTTGTCTAATTTTTAATAACTTTTAGTTGTCAAATCTTCGTTTGGTATGGTAATTTTTTGGAAGCCAACCAAACAGTATCTCGGTTGGCTTTGGCTGGTTGGCCGTGAGATGGCTATGGGCACTGCCTACGGTTGCAAGGGTGCTCTCCAGACCGGAGATGTGATGACGCATCTGCATGCAGCAGTGTTAGCGCCGGACGGACGCCCATGACTACACTCCATTTTGCGGTCCCACGCAAGGGCCCACGTTACTCTACCCTCACGTGGGGACCGCTCGCGCCCCCTCTACTTCCCTCGTCCAGACATCTGCGCCCCGCTCAGCAGCACCCTAACACTTGCAGCACTTGCAACATACGTTCAAAACAGTTGAAACACTTGCAACATGCGTCTGAAACACTTGCAAAAACACCTAAAACACTTGAAACCCATTGCAAATATATGCAACATCCAAATAAAATATTTGTAACATATGCGTGAAACATATGCAACATCCAGATAAAACACACTTGCAACATACGCCTAAAAAAACAGATGAAACATTTGAAACAGACGCTTGCAACATACGAACATATGAAACATATGCAACATCACGATCTACTTTTGCAACATCCATATGAAACTCTTGTAACGTACCTTTGAAACATCAGAAACACTTGAAACATGCGCTTTCAGCAAAACTGGACAGGTGGTCGGGCGGGCGGAGCACTACACAGCGAGATCCGACGCTAGGTCGCGGACTCGCGGTGGAAAAGGAGGACGGCAGCTGACGGGCGGCTGCTTGGCCCCCAGTGAGCGGTGGCGCTACCCTGGCGATAGGGCACGTGCAGTGCCCCCGCCGAGTGACACCCGCGGTGGAAGCGGTAGCGGTGGTCGAGCGGGTGAGGGCCTCGTGCGGCGAGGCGGCAGCGGCTGTGCAATCGTCAGGGGAGCACACCGAGGCGGCGCAATTGCGGTGGAATGGGTCGAGAATGGAGACACGAGTTGAGTGCAAGTGAGAGCGTTGGGCCGTTTGGACGGCCATCGAGGCCCACCAAGAAAAGCGTCCGGGCATATGTACGCCCGCTTCCCGGTGTTACCGATGTGGTTTAGATGGAGGTGAGCTGAATTTCATTTGTCCGTCCCTTATCGGTTGCAATGAACTAATGAACTAACTACGGCCTACAGCGGCGCACCGTAAAGCCCAGCTCAAACTGTAACTAGGCCTAAAACTAAGTAGACCTAGAAGGCCTTAGCGATAACTGGGCTTAGACTTTTGGGCCTGGTAAGACAGTAAAACATTCATTCTGAGCAGCCGTCCATCACAACTTGGAAAAAATCAACATTACCTCCTTCAACTTTCGCGAAAGTCTACTTTTCCTCCCTAAACTCTAAAACCGGGCAAAACATCTTTCTTAACTTTTAAAACCGTTCATCTTATCTCCCTGGCCCGGTTATAAGCGGTTTTGAAGGCAGTTTTATTTTTTTATTTTTTTATTTATTTCGGTTGAATCTTTAAAAAATCATAGTAAATCACAGAAAAATCATAAAATAGAAAATCTAATTTTGTTGGACTCCACATGAGTAGATCTACATAATGAACATATAATATGGTATGCTTTAGTACAAAGTTTTTGTTGTAATTTTATATCTATATTTTTCTATAATTAAATGGAGTAATTCATAGCTGCAGTTTATATGGTCCAATTGTAGTGAAATTTTTATGGTGGGCTAATTATTGTATGCTTAAACTGTAGTAAAAATTTTATACTCATTGGATCATGTATAATTTAGTTATAGATTTTCCAATTTCGCGAAAGCGGACTTTTACGAAAGTTGCGGAGGTAACGTGTACTTTTTCCTAACAATTTCAGTTGGCATGTCACGCTCACCGTGCATAAGGGCGTGCACAGCTCCTCCTGCCCAAAAGGCAGGGAAGAAAGGTCACCACAGTTTTGATGAAATGAAAAAGAAAACAGAGGTAGGGTGTTGATTGATTGATGGGGACCCGAATCAAGTGGAAAGGCATGTGGCTTGTGTTTTGCCAATTGTTGATTCCCTGAAGAACCCTCGTGATTGATTGATTTATTAGTCGTGGGGCCGTTGAGCTCATGGGGCCCTTGAGCTCAGGGATCACGAATAATTTCAGCGGCGACTTGTCACTTGGCCAGGTGATAAACATTATTATCAATGTCAATGCCAATCCTGTTGTTAATTATTAAGCCGTCATAAAATGCTCGAGCACAACGCTTTTACACAAGGACGATGCGTTCGTGAATTGGCTCAGGAGAAATGTTAAAATCTTTTATACTCTACCACCGAAACGCTAAAAGTCTCTCTTCCCATCACTCGAAGTAACGTAATTATTATTTTTTGAGAGGAAAGTAACGTAATTATTAGTATAACAACCTGTGGAAAATCCATCACGTACTGTATATGTTTATTTATTCCGTTGCTCCCACGAGCAATTCATCAGTATACACGGACGCACACACGTTACACATGAATGAATATACTGCACGTCCGGAGTGTACACTACACAGTACATACACTGCAATGGCCGTACGTCTCGACACTGCTACATAATACTACATACAACTCCAAACGAGACAGCGAACGCACGCTCTGCACACTAGTCGTCCCGACGCCGACGCGACGGACCAGCAAACCCTGCCTGTAATCGCGGCGACTCCTCTAGTTGCTACGAGCCCCATGCACGGGCACCTCCTAATAATTAATCAAATCGGGAATACGTACGGGTACCACGGGTTCGTCGACCGATCGCGGTCATCACGCGGTGCCCTCGACGCGCGCCTTGGTGACGCCGGCGCAGGCGTCGACGAAGTCGCCGTCGATGAAGTCGGTGGAGAAGACCTGCAGCTTGTCGCCGAGGCCCTTGGCGAAGACCTCGGCGATGAAGAGGCGCGCGTAGCCGTGGATCCGCTTGGTGACGGGCCACACGCACAGCACCGGGTTGTCGGCCTTGGGCGTCACCGTGTTCTCCACCCGGTAGAAGAACCTCCGTTCCGCCACGGCCGGCTGCTGCGCCAGGAACTTGAGGTTGCTCTCGAACTTGGTCTCCGGCAGGTCCGTGTCGATCCAGTTGTCCCTGAGGTACCCGGCGCTCCACAGCGGGTCCCCGGGCCTGGGGGCCGCCGACTTGCGGGGCTTCCACACGCAGATCACCCGCCGCGGGAGCAGCTCCGCGACCGTCTTGTGGAACACCGCCTCGTCCTGCGGGATCAGGTGCTCGCCGAGCTTCTCGACCAAGAACTTGTCGAACTCCGGCGGGTCCTCGTGCCCGAACTCGGTGCGGATCTCCAGGATGATCACCTCGGACTCGGTCTCGCCCAGGAACCTGGCCACGTCGTCCAGCACCACGTCGACGGGGTACGTCGCCAGGATGCCGTGGCAGACGCGGCGCTCCTCCTGGACGCGCACGTCGATGACGCGCGTGCCCGTGGCTAGCTGCTCGTACACGGACATGGACTGGCACTGCGCGAAGGGGCGGGTCACGAACGGCACGCCGATCTTGTTGGTGGCCGAGTCGTGCGTGCCGGGCCACACCACCTGGTGCACGCGCAGCCTGTCGGCGCCCAGCTCAGCCATCCACCGCTTCCGGTCCGCCGGCCGGTGCTCCGACCCGGGGAACGTGTCGCCGGAGGAGGAGAGACGCGTGGCCAGCGCCTGCTTCTCCGTGGTCACCAGCTTCCGCCGGTCCACCTGCTTCGAGAAGAAGGCCCCCATGGCTTCCAGCGGGTTGTTGTTGGTGCCGTTGCTCTTGCCAGCGCTGCTGCTGCTATTGGAGGCAGCCATGGATGGACGGATGGATAAATAAAGGATCCTGTGCTGTGTGTGCCTCGAGCTCTGACCTGGACCTGCACGTCGCTGTAAGCTGGAGATCGATTGATAGCTTAGCAGCCTAGCAGCAAGACAACACAAGGAAGAAAAATATCAATGCGTGGGGTGGGATTAGCCAACATGTGGCGATAGATGCTTTATTTGTAGGGGCTTGGGCGCTTGGCTGATCGGTCCGGCGGAGGAGGAACGAGGAAGTGAGGCGTGTTCTTGTGACCTCCGCTGCTGTTTCTCCCAAAGACTTCTTCGGTTTCCTTGGATTGGATGGTACAATTGGCGTTAGGTGGTAGGTGCCGGTATGGTGCTCTGATGGCAGACCGGGCGGGCGATAGATTTTTTCTTCTTCTTTGGCATTTTTGTATCCAAAAAATTGCTACTGGACAGAGGGTTTGGTTCGTTGCTTTACTCGTTCGGAGCATGGAAGGGGTAATTATTTTATGGCGAGACGGTGACGGAATCGGGGCCACACAAGGACAAGGATATGTTCATTATGGACGGACACGCCGTGCTATTGGTGAGTTCAAGGTTGTCGCAATAACTTGTCGGGCAAATGCTCCAAACTTTTGTTGCACAGATCGAAAAAGTCACCGATCGCAGGCTATGCGGAAACTGGAAACAAGACACGGGTCATCTTGGGTGATACGTACATGGCAACGTGATCGATCTATTGGCAGAAGTGTTTTGATATTCGCTGCATAATAAAGCAGCGGCACCGTGGCACTAATTGGAGAGCGTCATCGCGATGTGCATATACCCCAAATGCAAGGGGCATCTGTCAATCGTATTTTAGCACATGAATACATGATGATGCGTTCGCATAGACACCACTGATTGCCAGATAATTAAGAGTGGGAGGAATCACGCTGCCTGTACGCGACGCGGAGATGGGAACTGTTGAATAAGAGACACCAACATTACGATGTGACACTAATAACCACGACAGGGCTACGATCCCATTGTCCAACATGAGTGTGCGTGTTTGGTTCAGAGGAGAGGAACGAGGTGTGAAGCCAGAATGTAGGCCTTTACTCTTCTCTTGCTTTGATATTAATATTTGGCGTTTCATCATGTTTATCCCATGAACATTCTTTTAGCACGCACCACATAATAATAATGCAGAAAAAAAGGGGAACAAAGAAAGGAAGGATCAAATACAGGAAAGGACCAAAAGTCAACCAGAGGTTCCTGCTGCCAATCATTTGACTTGCACGCGTTCAAACTTCAAAGCACAACCTGTACTCCGCGTTCAACTGCTCCCAACGACATGTCGACATGCACACATAGCTTCGTCAATAATACAATGGCGGGAGCCAGTAGCTAGGTTACTCGGGGTTACACTATTTCGAGTAATCAAGCTTATCATGCCTTCCACGTGGGCTCAGAAACCTAAATAACACGGGACCAGCTAATAGTTTCAGAATGGCAATAAGAAAAATGTTTGAACGTTTTTAGTCAGGTGATGCCACTCTAAGTATCTTTCGCTTCAAGCCTTATAAACCAATTCTCCAGTGGCTTTGGTTACCCTGTTCGCTTGAACTTATCAGCCATGGTATAGTGTTTTTCTCTCGCAACAAAATAGTTTCAGCCGGCTTATTAGCCACAGAAACCATCAGCCGAACATCGGTTAATTCTTGCCTATATATGCCCTATACCGTTGTTTTGAAAAAGTGAAGAAACAAAAACCTACCATGGCATGCCACCTGGTTGAAAGGAATAATAAACTATAAATGACTCTTTTAAATAAAGAGTATAAATGTTGGAAATTAGGAGTATCAGTCGCTCTCCTGCGCAACTGGCACTTCATTTCTGGAGAGAGATGGGCAATAATACCATAATGCCCACATTGGTTTCAAACTTTCAATGTAAAACATTACTACAGGATTGTAAGATTTCTCCACTAATGGCCACTTGTCTATTAAGAATTTGCATAAACTAAACCAGGAGGAAAATAAATAAATCTTGAGGAGATCTCTGAGATATCATTTGGTTGTTAGCCAACCAACGGAAGGCTACATGTTAGTGTTACAACCAACTAATTACAGGATTAGAATATGTACCTACCTTAGGGAAAAATTAGTGCTTACTAAGGCCGCGCTTGGGACAGCTATTCGCGGCTCCAGCTGATGCGCTACTGTAGCTACAATGTTCATGAAGCTGTTTTTCTCCCTCCTTCTCAAAACAATGGAGAGCTGGTGAAGACAGGTTTTGTGGCCCCTCCGATTAGAGGGCGGACCGGCGGAGCCAGCCCACCCAAACAGGTCCTAAATGATCAGCTTACTTCTCCTCAAGTACATCACTGCGTCATCAGTATGTTGGGACAAAGTGATGTACCAGACTCATAGGAAGCAAAATGTCCTGGACTCCTAGTTGAAATTGACAGTTGGCACAACACAAAAGCATACACTGAGTGCTGAAGGAGTCCTTTCACCTGGAAGGGAAAAAACAGTCATTGACGTTTCTCTTTAGAGCTCTTCTCTTTGGATTTTCCAGGTGCCACAACTGATTTGATGCAGGCCCCTGACAAAATATAATAAGTGATGATCACTGTGAGATATTGCTGCAGGGCGGATTTGATGCAGCCCCCCCCTGATCAAAATATTTTAAGTGATGATCACTGTGAGATATAGTGCTGTGCCCCCTTAAATATTTCTCTGTGTATTCTCTAAAAGGGCCATTTACATTGTTCACAACCTATTTGACTGTTCGGACGACATGATGATGTTATGTCTACTAACTACTAAGCAGGAAATTGTGAGTACATGTGTACTTGAGCACGAGCACAAACATAGAACAAACGGCCTATATTAGGGCCCTTCTTCACAGATCTCGGAATGCATGGTTCACTATGCCCTTTGCAACCTGGTAGCGTCATCTTCATCTTTTGTTGTATTCTCTGCCACTCTAATGCTGCAGCATTAGACTTGTCTGTTGAAAGTGAACAGGATGATACATTTGTATTATCCTGATCTTTTGCAGCTGACGTTGTGCACTGCATGTTTTCAGGCAGACTATCATCATTTGAAACACATGTTTGATTTGTAAGGTCTAATGTTTCTGCTGGAGTAACTAAGGTACTGGTACTGGCATTTCCTGTCTTTGACCCTGGTCGCTCAAAAAACGACTTGATTGTTGGTTGAGACGATAAGTTGCGTTTAATTTTCTTTTTTGGCACAAACTTGGCGCTAGACAGTGAAGTTTTTTCTGGCTGCTATGAGAGGCGCCAATCAAACCTTCATTTGTCCATTGATCAAGATTTGTCCCTTGCACATCAAACTAGGAAGGTTATGACCTTTTGCAAACTCAGTTATACCAGTTGTCAGTCCTTCCTTAGCTATAATTGTATTCTCCAAGCCATCACTACAGTAGCTACCGACTACTGTATCTTCGGACTGAATCATATTTTGCAGCATTTTGCAGCTCATAAATTTTCCCTTTACCAAGGAATGATACTGCAAATTGTGACAACACTGGCAGTCAGTATTACACAATATACTGTAACTAGTACCACTTCACACAAAGTGCTCCACTGAGCCCAAGTATAACTTAGGGGCTAGCTGCCATATAAGACCAGATACCTTACCAACTTACGAGCTAATGAGCTCTGATGAAACTGAATATAAAAGAACAGCACTACAACACCAAAGTGTAATGCACAGTAAACATGCTATATTAAGCATGACCAAAGATAGGGTTTATTTTCTAACTCAGCCAAGCAAAGTGCCACTGCCACATAACTTATGAGTTTAGAAATCAACAGTGAACATCAGGAAAATGTGAAAGATAATTTGCACAGATCATTCTGTTGGCATAGTTGAGGTATGTGTCTAATAAACACATAAGAAAGCCAAGTCTTGAAGCAAGTTATGATTTCCTCCAAACCAAAAATGATGAAGTGCACTTTCCTTAACCGAAACTTCTATGAAAATAAGTATGGATTTTGGGCAAACACATTAACACACCATGAAAAGAATATTAACAGATAAGAAAATGAAGTCCTTACATAAGATAGAAAAGTTCCATGAACAACTCAGCTACTTGCAACAACAACAACAACAACAAAGCCTTTAAGTCCCAAACAAGTTGGGGTAGGCTAGAGTTGAAACCTAGCAGAAGCAATCAAGGTTCAGGCACGTGAATAGCTGTTTTCCAAGCACTCCTATCTAAGGCTAAGTCTTTGGGTATATTCCATCCTTTCAAGTCTCCTTTTATTGCCTCTACCCAAGTCAACTTCGGTCTTCCTCTGCCTCTCTTCACATTACTATCCTGGCTTAGGATTCCACTACACACCGGTGCCTCTGGAGGTCTCCGTTGGACATGTCCAAACCATCTCAACCGGTGTTGGACAAGCTTTTCTTCAATTGGTGCTGCCCCTAATCTATCACGTATATCATCGTTCCGAACTCGATCCCTTCTTGTATGACCGCAAATCCAACGCAACATAAAACCCTAAACAACTCAGCTACTTGCTTTAGCAAAAATAAATTCTACACAGAAACTGGTTTTAGCACAAACACCAAAACTGCAAAAGCAAGCTACAACTAAAAAAAAACATACAGAACACTAAAATTCACTCACCAATACTTTGTTGCCATCCACAGACCTCTGGAAGATATCTTGCAGCTGAACTGGAAGTTCAGGTATTTCTTTCAGTAAAATATAAACTGGAATATGATCAGATCCTTCTAGCTTACTACTTCTTCCCCCTTTCCACCTGTAGAGAATGGAAAGATTAAATCATTCTAATGTAACACAGCAAATCATGTACAATATCCACTTCATTTCAGAGAAAACTGATATCCAGTATTCTTTACTTTGATAATTTTTCAGAATTCCCTCTTTTGAAATGATTCATTATCTCACATTCTTCTACATGACAACAAAAAATGCTATGGTCCTCCACAGAATCACAGATGGAGACAGGAACCGGAAATGAGAATGTGGTCTATCCTAGAGCCATAATTATACTCTTCAGCACCAATTTTCTGATTAAAACAAGTATACGCTCCTATCCAGAACAAAAGAAACACAGCAAAGTATGCTTTAGAAAGTAACTTGGGATGAGTCTACTTATAAGCCCAGTATGTTTGGCCTTTTCAGAAACACTTCTGCACGGATATTAAAGCAGTTAAATCAATTAGAATTTTTTGAAAAGCAATTTTAAAAAGATGGCTATTTACTTCAAATCAAGCAGTTTTCAAAAGTGGTTCCTCAAAAACAATCTTTTTTATAGCTTTTGTAAGAAGCAAGTTTCTCCAGCTTATGACAAAGCCCAGACAAAACTGGACCTAAGTCAACCATGGATAATGAAAATAGAGTAGACTCAACTCATTGTTACAACTTACAAAGAGGGTTCTATTTGACCAGTGTGGTTGCTTTCAGGTAAATATGAGCAACTTGTAAAAACAAAATCATGTGCACAAGCGGTTGGGTAGCTCTGGGGGCATTCCAGTACCTTTCAGGGTGTTTTGATTTAAAAGCATCAAAAAAGGGACCTCCGTGTTCTCTCAGCATGGATCTCAGCCATTCTCGGAACCTTTCATTAGGAAAATGAGAATAAAAATGCATTTTTGTTTCCGGATGCTTTATAATTGGAACCATAGCAAAAAAAATGCTAAAAGAAGGCTTACATTTGCTTCTCAAAGCCAGGTGGCGCGTCACACCTGTCTATAGAAGCAGGAGCAATATTCAAATCACCAACAACAAAGACTCTCTTTCCAAGAGCCAATAGATGTTCCCATCTTTTCTAAGAGGTAATGAAAGAAAGAAGCAAGTATAAGAAGCATAAATATATAGGCAATAAGCATTGAAAAGATAGAAGTATTGTTGAAATATTCTTCATGAGAGATACTTATTAGAAGAGACACACACAAAGTACCTGCAGTATCTTGTAAAACAGTAGCTTAAAACAAACCCGCTCTTTGTCATCTTCTTCAACAGCTGGGCCATATATGTTGAAAAGAACTAAACAAGTGGTGAACCATTATCATTATTACATACAAAACAAAAATCAAATACGCAATAAAAAAACTTGAAAATGCAAGAAGTTATGTTCCTATCAAGGGAACAATTTACTTACCAAAATGCCCGTGATCAGTGATGATGCACCGCCCCTCATTGTCCACCCTTAGGAGGTCCTCTCTTGTGATTTCACCAAGACCTTCCTCCTCGACAGGCATTGCAATAATGAAATCCCCAACAGTTTCACTATTTTTTGCATAGTCCTGAAGTCCAGTAAAGCCTTCTTCAGCTGCTACTGGCAAAGCAACCTCCTGACTGGAAAATGATGATGTTACTCGGCAAAACGTTGCAACACCTACAAAGGATTCGAGTACAGTAATTGACTGAGGACGTGGTCCAATCAAAGTAATGCTGAACCCAGAGAACATCTCCAACCAGGCAAGCAACTATGCATCAGTATATCAGCCAAATCAACATATTGTGATTACCATTTGTGACACCATAACAACATACCCGAGTATGCTCCACGACCTTTTGAAGAGCGATTGCATGAAACAAAGGCCTCATATCCTTCAGCCATAATGACATCTGCAGATAGGTCCTGCCTTGACAATTTGGTCTCCTACAATACAGCAGGCATTGATACAGTTAGCTCGAATTTTTCTTCTTAATATAATGATACGCAGCTCTCGTGTGTTTGAGGGGAAAAAAAAGTTAGCTCGAATAAATCAGTACACACAAGCCTAACCCCAGCTCGCGCAGTTTTACTCTTTGCATTAGACAGAATAAGCGATAAATTGCATCCCACCACAGAAACAATTCTTTGATCTACACTAAACTAGATACATTCTCTCTCTTTTTTCTTTTTGAATGTAAACTAGCAGGACCTGCAGATACATTGTCTTTTTCCTTATATGGGGAAAACATTGTCTTTTTCCTTGAAATGAAGTGTCCATCGCAGTAAGCTTCAAACTTCGCCCGTTTGCATTCCGTCCAATATCCAGTGAAATTTCCGCGTTTTAAGTGGGGGTCCGAGTGCGACAGTGAGTGATAAGCACAGGCAGGCAAGCACTACTGAGCTAGGGTTTCGGGTTTCGACACATGGGGGTTCAGTTTAGTGAGTGGGAAATCAACAATTGGTCGGACCTGGAAGCAGATGATGTCGGCGTCGAGGGCGTTGAGGAGGCGGCGGAGCGAGCCGTGCTGCGCCACCCGCGGCCGCAGCCCGTTCACGTTGTACGTCACTATCTTCACCATCTCCAGCCGGTACCACAAGGCGTCACCCACGGTAGGCGAGGGTTCGAAGGGGAAACGCGTCGCTCTTCTCGCAAGCGGGGCGGGGACGAAGAGACCGACGGCCGGGCTGCCCGCGGCGGCGGTGGCAGCGGGAAGCCGGGAACTGTGCAGGCTGATCCTAGAGTGGTGTCCGGTCCCGACCCGAACTGGCGGTGGCTCTAGGCAGCCGTCCGATGGTAGTGGTGGGGCTGAGATCTCGGGGGTAAAACTAAACACCCCAAAACTAGAAATTTGCATCGCAAAGTACAGACAGACACATACACCAGCCGTCAGCTGATGAGTTATCACATTTCCGACTTGAGTTGGGACGACAGTGCGTATCACACTTCTGTACCTCATCCTCATGTCGTCCATGGCCTCGCGAGATTTGCTCGTTACCAGAAACTAGATGCCTTGTGACTACAGGACTCCCTCCGTATTTTTTTAAATAATTCTAATTGTTTAACTCTTCGGAACGTGAGAATTGTATTCTTTTACGGACGGATGGAGTAGTCACTGCGTGCTCGCTCGCACAGTTTCCTGAAAACATCTGTCTACCTCTACCACTGCGCGCCTGTGCCTGTCCAACTGAAAACTGTCTCTCGCTCTCTCCTCTCCCCAGTCTTCCCCAAATACTCTCCTCCAATCGACAAATAGGAGTACAGACTACTATTGATCGTTTGATCGAGTCGGGATGCTCTCCCCTTGCTCGAGTGTCGAGTCGATCAGACGACCTGTCATTACTATAGCCCTCTCCTCCGATATGTCTTTGCCCTTTGCAAGTTGCATGGTTTGCAGCTGCAGCCTCACAGACGGCTCGTCAATTGCTTGAACCGGCGACCACCAGCAACAGCAGCGAGCGGCTGCTGTATATGCAACTGATGCAAGCGAAAACGACGTGTACAATTGATGCAATAGCGGCGCACAATAGCTAGCGCCCTGGCGTCTCCACCTCGCTGGTCGCACTCGCACTTTTCCCCGACTCCCCGTCGCCCGTCAATGTCAGGGACTCGCTTGGCTGTGGCAGAACCAATCAACTACTCCTACTCAACTGCTCGGTCATTCGTCTGTTCGTTTATTGGTTTCAGCCAAAATTTATCAGCACTAGCAAGACTTATCAGCCTACAAACCGATCAACGAACAGCTTCATTGGCAACTTGCCACGCGCGACCTTGAACGGGACAACCCCTCTCTCTCTCTCCTCCTCGTCCCGTCGTCCTCGCATGGCATCACGGACAAGAAAGAATCCACAGCCCACTCCTTGCTCGCATTGACCGGGCCGGCATGGCATGCGTTCCACTCCCATCCATTCCTCGTTGTTGGAAAAGAAAAAAGAGAAAGAAAGAAGAAAAACAAAGAGGAAACGCGCGTGACAGCGCACAAAGCCGGGGTTATATATTTAAACAGATGGTAAGCGATTGCTGCTGATCTGCTCGCCGTTGTCCTTGCAGCGATCGTTCGGCCGCACGAAGAAACAAGAGGTACAGCTACTGCTAGCATTTAACAACTGTTTCGGCACATGGTGTGATAAGCAGCGGCAGCAGTTGAACTGTACGCCACTAGCCGTGTGGGATCTGAAACGTGGCAGCAATATAATTTGCTAGCCTAACTATTTCTTTAGATAAATGGAAAACATCATCAGGATTTATCTCCTTAAGAGAGGAATCAAATCACACTTATATTATAAGATCCATAGAAAGAATTAATCTCACTTGACTTATAAAATATTTAAATTTAAACTCAATCCTAAAAGTAAAGGGTCATCAATGGAAGGCGAAGAAAAACACAATCTGGCTTATGCCTGAATGATGTATTATTTTCTATCATCGCATCATTGTAATTGGACCAAGAACTGTAGGCAATATGTTTCCTTGTAAACAGTATACAATAAGCATACGCTTTTGGTTGAGGCTTATAGAAAACATTGTCATTTTCATATTAGCCATATGGACCAACAAAAAAAAAGTAGAAGCACCTAGCAGTGGTAGTAGATTATATTGATTTTCTCCCTATTTTATGCCATCCACTCAATAGATTTTTCACACTCAATAGTGTAGGGAGATGGGAATGGATTGACCCAGTCTTGGATTTTACCATGAACTCATGGCCAATTTAGAGGGTCATGGGTATCCATTTCACCTAACGGTTATGGCCTCCCTAACCCAATGGGTAGTATGAGTCGGCCTAATTTTTTTGTGCTATGATGGATATGAGTACTATTGACACTTCTAGAAAAGATGAGATACAAGGTTAAAAAGTATCATGATAACATATTAAGGTTATTAGAAATGCATCAGATTAAATAAGTTTGCAAGTGAATCATGATTTTAATTTTATCTATTTTCACTCTCAAAAATATGGTATTTCCCGATCTACTTCCTAGCATATACATGCTTACAAGTTATGACCAATCGTGCTTATTAGGAAAAATGAAGAAGACCGACAAATTTAAAAAAAGTTGCTATGTAATAATTGGATTACCCTTTGGGTCAATGTGTTCCGACCATATCGATTCTTTTTTTTTACTTTGAAGCTAGCCCTTTGGGCCATTAGCCTTGCTTTTATGGACTGGGTCAACTATCCAATGGATCAACTCGACCCATTGCCATCCTGACAATGGAGGCACACCAATGGAAAGAATATGTAAAGCACACCACAAAAATCTAGCAAAAATACATTTTTAAAAAAGAGAGAGGTGTTGAATAGTTTCTAATTTACCCTAGAAGTAGCATAATTGACTGCCATTGCAATTCCTTCTGGCTAGATTATCTTTTAGTAAGGTCATGTTTGGCAACAAAGAGCCAATGAGGAGCTTCACCGAAGAAGATGCACGAGCCAAAGAAGCCACGAAATGGAGGCTTCACTTCTACAATTTTGGCTTATCTCCCAGGAGTTTAACTCAAGGAGTCATTTCTCACTCCGACATGATAGACCTTCTCCCCAAACCATAGAGGAGCCAGAACTGCTCAAAGAGCCTTGCCAAATAGAAACCTAAGTATAACTTTTTTTAGGAACCATAAAAGCCTTAATTTTCGTTAAATTTCACATGTGACTTTAACATTATTACTAACTAGATTTCCTTGCCAACCGCGAAGATTTTTTGTTCAAAGGCCAAGTTACTAAGTCTTTTCTAACTTGCAGGTTAACATTTACAATGAGTGTAATCGGATTTTGCTATTTCTATAATTTATTGCCCCCTAAAGCTTTTGCTAGTCTCAACTAAAACTTGTAGTTTTATATTATATAAGACACTATATCAAGAAACTACCCTGCTCAGTGCAACATTTCTACAAGTTGACCCACATAAAAATCCAGCCAATCATTCATCCCCCCTCTCTTTCACCCGTGTGCTTCTCTCTCTCTTCACTCAATTTGTCTCTCACCTGTGAAGACGTAGGTGTGGCTCGGGCCGGAGAGGACAAGTGATTACTTAATGTGGGGACGGTGCAACAGGGTTCAAAATTTCGGCGAAATTTCGGCCGAATTTTACGAAATTCGGTAATTTCGGTGGTGGCCGAAAGAAAACTCCGAAATTTTTTAATGCACTAATACATGTGCTATATAACTCTAATCTTATATTTTTCTATTGTTTATATTGCATATTCTTCTATTTAATAGATATATAGTCATAAATTATACTAATATTTATTTAGATCCAAATTTTTTTAGAAAAAACATACTTCATGTGCTAATCTCTAAAAAAAATTTCGGCGAAATTTTGGACGAATTTCGTGAAATTCGGTAACTTCGGTGGTGGCCGAAATTTTGGCGATACTGAAATTAAAAACCTTGGGTGCAACACGATGCGCCCGGGAGGCCACGAGCGGGGCAGGGGCGACATGATGTGTCTGAACGTGACGAGAGGCTTAAAGAGGGCAGTTGGGGCGGGAAGTGGCGTCATGGACCTCTGCATCGCTCTGAGAGGGGCGACTGGGCGGGGGCAATGCGCCATGGCATGATAGCACGCATGGCGCGGTGCGGCATCGCCGGGCTCGGGATCTCGCGCATCTCCTCTACTGCGAGTGCTGGGTGCGGTGAGGTCGCGTGTCTAGGGTGTGCCTGCACTGATCGCACGCGAATGCCCTTTTGGTCGACGGGTGCCGCACCCTCTTGGCCTTGTGACTGTTTAGTTTCTACAATGATTGTTTAGTTTCTACAATTACAACAGGCGTGCTGCTGAGCAAGCAGTTCCGATCAGTTTGCGTACTGAGTTCATTCTGTTTGGCGGCAACCGCCGTTGGGTGACGTTTTCAGTTTTCAGTTTTCTCCGCCTCCTGTCCCCATCGCCCTTCTCTGCGCGGTGAGCTCGTTCAGTTTGGTGCTCTGGGGTCTGGGCACACCGCTAACGCGACACTTGCATGTTGCATCGTTTTCCTTCTCGCGCTCCCACCTCCTCTGAACGACAACGATGTCTGTCCTGACTCCTGAGCTTATGCGGCCGCTGAACGTGCCAAACCGCAAAAGTGGCATCATGTGGAGTTGTGGTGTCCATCCGTGCAAGCATGTTTTTTTTCCCGTCTCAGCCGAGGAGCAGATTGTGGTGCCAATTGTGTTTATTTGGACTTTGGGATAAAAAACAACGGCACAGTGGCGATGTTAGCACATAAAGCTACAGTTTCGTTTATGCCCTGCTCTGTTTCCACTTGGCTATAGCTAGCTGCACCTTAGTTACTTTCCATTTCGTCCAGATATTATGAAACCAAGACAACTTTTTATACCAAATGTTAGCTCCGGTCAATAATAATTATAGATCTAGCTTTGCAGTATCTTAGTCTCTTAGATGCGTATCATTGAACAGTAATTTCTTATAATATATATTTTTTTAAGCCTTCGATTCTAAGACATTTTGGAAATATTTTGTATCCATATTTATGCACATATAATTTTCAGGTTTAACCACAAATTATCCTAAATGACATGTTTTCTGATAGGAAGATACAACTTTTTTCACATAAGACAATAATATATTTTTATAGATATTATTACCTTGGACAACCTGTAGCTAGTGTATTTGTGATTGGAGAAAATAAATGATCCTTTTTTTTGGGGGGGGGGGGGTGCAGAAAATAAATGATTATATTATGTTTTTTTGGAAGTTTTTTGTGACAAAGGACATGGATTCCTCCAATTGATTCATTTAAGGCATATAAATGGGAGTGTTTCACCTGGATGGCTAATATTAAATGCCACATATAATACTGACAATTCATTAGTTGTAACCACTCAACTCACCTAATATTTCGAAATCAAAGCAGCATGAAGAAAAGTAGGTGTATTTGGTTCTGTCTACAATATACAAAGTTTGCGATCTACATTGAATACGTGAAGTCTGATCGAAACTTGGTGTCGGAAATGATTGATATGATTTTTTTCGA